ACACTTCCGGCTGGGTTGAAGGCAGCTCTTTGGTTTGCAAAGAGTCTCTGCTTAGAAAAAGTACTCCCAGCCGTGTCTCAGGTACATCCTTGGGCGGCAGGGAGCCTGTGGTGGGGGAAGGCCCTCCTGGCTGAGTGGAAAGCAGATCTCCGGGCAGCAGGGAGCCTGTGTGCATGGGGACTGTGCAAAGGCTAAGCTGAGGCACCTCCCCTGTGGGGAAGAGGAGAGACAGAAGGTCACTGTGATGGCATTGGAATTGGGCTCAGAAGGCTGAGGGTGCCTGGCTCGAGGGGTGGAGCCAGGACCCATCGGGACCCACAGGATGGGCCTTGCTGTGCTCCTCCTCTCTCCCCTGCGTGCTGCCTCCAGCCTGGATGACTCCTTTCAGACTCAGCTCAAGCGGCAAAAGTCTGCCCTGCCTCTCCAGGCAGTGCTGGGTCTCTGACTGGAATCCCTCAGCCCTGGGGTTGAACTTGTTTCCCCCTGGCAGCCAGGAGGAGGCCCCAGTTCCCTCTGTGCCCAGCATGGCCCGGAAGGCCCTAGTGAGCATGTGGAAGGGATGAGCACACACCATGCCCTCAAGGCTGGCTCCAGGGACCCTTGGGTGGGTGATGAGCTGCAAAGGCAGCAGCTCCACAGTTCCCTTGGTTTGGGAAGAGGATAATCCAGACCCGTAGGAACAGCAAACTCTGTCTTGCAGAAGCGGCTGCTTTGCTTTCATCTTGGGCACACACCAGTGTAGCCAGCCCACCACCCACACAGCTGCAAGCCACACAGTGACTGTCTTCTCTCTATCTGCTGTGCCTTTCTCTCTGCTGCCTTCTTAGGCCCATGATCGGGGCAAACCTGTCTGAAGACTTGATCAGGGCCTTTCTAAAAGGGTCACTCTAAGTAAGACCAAAGAGACTGGGTTCCAGCCTCATGCAAGTCACTGAGCCTCTTGGGAATGACTTTCCCATCTCTCACATGGGCCCAGCAATACCAAACATGCATGGGTCACCCCAAGCCCATTCTTCCTGTCTTCCTTGCTGACGAGGACTGCTTTTGGTAAGAGAGAGAGGGTGGTGCAACAAACCACCATGCACGTTTACCTACGTAACAACCTGCACGTCCTGCACTTGTATCCCACGTTTACCTACATAACAAACCTGCACATGTATCCCAGAACTTAAAAAAAAAAAGAGAGAGAGGCAATGTGCTCAGCTGTAACATGACCTTTTGCTGGTCTCCCTTGCTGAGCAACATGGCCATGTGAATGCNGGGAAGGGCAGGGGAGGCTCGCTTCCCATCATGGCAGCTGGCAGGACCCAGGTGCAGAGCCCAGGCTGGGCAGGACAGGAGGGTGCATGACAGAGAAGGGGGAGAAAGAGTAACTCCCCAGGATGAAGACATTGAAGGTCAAAGTCATATGACCTAGAGAAAGCTCCCAAAGCCCTGCACACACATGCCAGCAATTCCACTGAAACCTTAAAAAAGAAAAATGGGCGTGGGGACAGTGTGGTTTCACTGTCAAATTAGTCAATACTGTTTAAAATCCAAACCTGGTATATTTTTAACTTGTACTTGTCTTTCAGAATTTCTATGGAAAAGCACAAATACTGCATTTCAGTAGATGGCAAAGTGGAGAGCTGTTTATTTACTCTCAAGATGGGTTAGGAATGACTGGACAACCTCAGCCATAGCCCTCAGGGGTCTCCTCCTGATGTACTCAGGGGTCCCATGTGGGGTGTCCGTGGCCTGTGTGGGTGGCACCTTGGGCAGTCATGCAGCCCCCACGTTCACATGCTGGGCAGTAGGACACAGTCTGTTGACACTTATCTCTGTTGAGGCTGTGGCTCCTTCTATGGGGACAAATGACTAAGGAGGGAAGTCTGTCTTTTCTACTGAGATGAGGAGGATTCCCTGAAATTTACCTGGTCCTGGGGACACTGTGGGGAATCTGGGAAGATAATTCACCTTTCCAGAAAGGGCCTCACCTCCTTCTGGGACATATTTAGAATTTGAGTAGCCAAAAAATGGAAACCAGGGGAAAAAAGACGAGGAGTATAGGTAATGAGATATGCAAGTATTTTTCCTTTCAAAAAGCTATGGAGGGGCTGAGCACGGTGGCTCATGCCTGTAATCCCAACACTTTGGGAGGGCTTTTGGGTGGATGACCTGAGGTTCAAGACCAGCCTGACTAGCATGGTGAAACCCCATTTCTACTAAAGATACAAAAATTAGCAGGACATTGTGGCAGGCGCCTATAATCCCAACTACTCCGGAGGCTGATGCGGGAGAATCGCTTGAACCCGGGAGGCAGAGGTTGCAGTAAGCCAAAATCGCACCATTGCACTCCAGTCTGGGTGACAGAGCAAGACTCTGTCTCAAAAACAAAGAAAAGCTAGGGAGGGAGACACAGCATTGAATTCATATTTCAAAGACTTTTTGGGGCTGGGCGTGGTGGCTCATGCCTGTAATCCCAGAACTTTGGGTGGCCGAGGTAGGCAGATCATAAGGTCAACAGATGGAGAGTATCATGGCTAACATGGGGATACCCCGTCTCTCCTAAAAATATTTTTAAAAAATTTAGCTGGGAGTGCTAGCATGTGCCTCTCCTCCCAGCTACTCAGGAGGCTTAGGCAGGAGAATCCCTTGAACCCGGAGGCGGAGGTTGCAGTGAGCTGAGATTGTGCTACTGCACTCCAGCCTGAGTGACAGAGCAAGACTCTGTCTTGTCTCAAAAAAAAAAAAAAAGAGTTTTGGGGCTTTTTTAACAGAGAATTTGGCCTTGACCTCATGTGTCCCACCCCTTGGTGACAGATGAAGTCAGGGCTGTTGGGAGTGGAATGCATCCATGCCTGGAATCCCCATGGCACCGGGGTGCTGTGTCCCATCAGGTGCAATATAAATCAGCTCACTCAGAGGATAAGCTTCCTGGTGACAAACTTGGTTGATCAGCAAGAATTCAACTCCTTTGACTGACAAATGAAGACTCCATGTATATTTCCAGTTCAGCAACAAAGGCTTATTAATCTTGGGTATTTGGTGCCTTAGAAGTTGCGCTCTGAGGGAGGGAGAGACAAAGGGGGTTGTGCAGTGTGCCCGAACAGTGGGGGGAGCAGTGGCAGCATCCTGGAGGGAGGCCTGGAGCACCTAGCAGGGAGGTGGCCACACCTGGAGGAGCGAGTGAGGGGGAGGCACTTCCGGCTGGGGGGAAGGCAGCTCTTTGGTTTGAACAGAGTTTGTGCTTGGGAAAAGTACTCCCGGCCATGTCTCAGGCACATCCTTGGGCAGCAGGGAGCCTGTTTGAGGGCGAGGCATTCCTGGCTG